CCATACCAAAGTTAATATACCCTTCACGAAGTGCAGGGTATAATAATATAAAAATAGAATTTTAAATATTTTCATCACATTATACCAACACTACTAATATTGTAAATTTTTTTTAATGCTCACACCAGAAAATCATAATCAAATATTAATAAAGCCTTATACGATAAACTTAAAAAGTAAATTAAAGTTTGAGAACGAATACAGAAATTCTTTTGCGCTAACGCATATTATCTATGAATATAAAAATTTCCAAAATGGTTTTATGTAAAATGAGAATCATTTAAATTTTTTTTTTTTTGTTTGTCTTTTTCACATTATCGATAACAAAAAATCAATATATGAAAATTGAAATATTAATGGAGAGGAAAAATTACAGTACATTATTATTATAAGCAGACATATCAGAACAGAACAAAGAATACATTTTACAAAAAAATTCTATGGATTTAAAAAAAATAATCACAGATAGAATTCAATTTTAGAGAGTATTAAAGTTCAAATGTTATAGAACGTTGTAAAATAAAATGACTATATGAAATTTAAAATAACAAAATACTATATTCTGAGATCAAAGAATTGCGATGTAACGCATAATCGTGAAAATCTAAAAACTGAATAATTTTGTAAAAGATAAAGTTCATGTAGCTATATACTCGTATATGGTTCAACAATTTGACTAATCAGTTTCAAAATACGTTTTTCTTTTCATTTTGTAAAGAAAATAACACAATTACGAGGATAATAAATTATATTTTGCCTGAATGAACAATAACACAATGCATTTTGCCTGTAATTAATTTTTTCTTTTCTATTTCACTTGATTGAAACAAGGAAAGTAACACTTGATAGAGTTAATAATTGAAGAATTATTGTATAAATTCGAATATGTTTAATTATATCAAGAGAGTTTTATCAAAAGTAACTTCTATATCTTATCAGAATTATCAAAAAATCCGCGGAATTCAGAAACAGAGATCAAAATTCATCTGTTTTTCATATTTGAATATATGACACTGAACAATAGTTTCGACTGCATAAATTTTATAGAAACAGCTATAAAAAGAATTTGCTTGTATAAGGCGAACCACATCCTTTGAATGATCTCACTTTTTTATAGCCCGCCGCTAAGAGTTTTCATTCAGGAATTCCTCTTCAATCAGAACACTAAATTCATTTTTAATTATAATAATAGACAATAATTTCTCACACAGAATGTTTCATATCTTATTTCATCTGATAAGAATAAGATCTAGATTTCTATAAGATCGAAAGGAAATTGAAAATTTTTATTTTAAATTTTATTCTATAAGTAATGTGGTTTTAAAATTAAAGAATTGGAAACCTTTATTATAAAAATATTTTTGAAGTAAATTGTTATGAATTGAAAACGACACTGAGTTTTATGCTAAGGTATTTGTAGACTGATAAAAAATGTCAGAATTTCGAATTAATTTCTCTAAAATAAACATTATTTTGACATGATATTTCTAGAATTTTTTGATTTACGACTTCTTATTAGTCGCATGGTGTTATTAAAACGTTTTTAAAATTACTTAAACACTCATGCTATTATAAACTTATGCAATGTAACTTAATAATTGTAACAATAGAATAATTATAATTGAAAAAAATTAATTTAGCAGGAATTTTTTTTTAAAAATTACAAGAAAGTTAAGGAAATTCGCTACCTTACTGATAATGTGAGTGAGCAACTTCATTTGTGTTTTTATTATGATGCAAGTAAAATACATGTATTTCTTCTAAAAATGACGTCTGTAATGAATTGCAAATTTTGAAATGCGAATGAAAATGTGGGTTACCAATCCATGCTCATGCTTTATTTTCATTTTTAAAATGAAAAGAAATGCGGCAGAAAATATTCTAACCTTAATTTTTTTTATTAGTCGCATTCCTATTATAAAAATCCTTAGTAAAAATGGAACCAATTTTTAAAAATTAAAAACAAAAAAAAATAAATATTTTTTAAAAAATGTAGCATTTGTTTTTTTTTTTTTTTAATATGGAAATAGGATATTTTTACCATCATAACCAATTTCCACCATAACCTTTATTTATTTATTTAAAAAAAAAGAAAGAAAATAAGGATAAGAAAAATAAAAAAAAATAAAAATGTTCATGTTTTTCAAATTCTGTTAACGAATGGTAATAACAAATGTCAACAAAACGAATTTTCAACAAGACTGGAAAATTATTTATAGGCCAATTGGGAAAGATAAATTTTTCCTTTTTTTTAATTTGTTTTTTTTTTATTATTATTTTACTTATTTCTATTTTTTTCTCTTATTTTTTTTTGTATTCTACCTCTAAAAACAAATCTAAAAAATGAACAAAAAAAAAATTAAAACTGAAAATGAAAATTGCAAAATAAAGACAACAAACATACACACTTACACATTGAATATTATGTAGGGTTCTATTTTATATGCAGCGCAGTAGAAAATTAAGTAAAAATTCAAAAAAAATAAGAAAAAATTCAGGAACAATTGTGGCATGGTTTTATGGTAGCACAACGGCATAGCGAATTAATAATTGTTAAAACATAGATGGGTTTAAAATAGCGAAAAATATTATTTTGTATTTTTTCTTATATAATAATATTATGCATATACAATATGAAAGCAAATAGACAAACAAACAAATAGTAAAGTACACAAAAATAAAATGTATAAAAAAAAAACTTATATAAAAATTATTTTCACAGTGTTGATGACGTTCGTTCGTTTACTTGGCTCTACATATGCGATACACAAATTAATACTTTCTGTCTAATTTCTATTAAAGCATCATAAGAAAAAAATTTGATGCGGTCAACACATAAGAAGATTGAAAATGCTATGAAAGCTATGAATGTCTTATAAACGTCATAAGGAGAGGAAATTATTTTTTTACAAGAGGTTCATTTCCTTGAATACAATTTCCTTAAAATTTCAATAAATGCCATTACTTAATTCCTAAAATGTAAAAAATGTGAAAGCGGCTTCTAGAGAAAACTCCATTTAATCTAGACTGACATCGTCATTGAAGTTAGGTGACTTGTTGTACATTGTCACATAGAGTTTACATATGAAATTTAAGAAAATCTTTTAATTTTTTCCTCAAAAATAATCAAAATAATGAAATCGGACCATAATAAAAGTCAAGTTCTTGAAGGATGACAAATCTCGAAAGCTGATAAAACTGTGTTATCCCGTAAGTAAACATAGATATAAATTTTCGTGAAAATTCATTCATCCAAACTTTAGATACAGAAACGAAATGGCAGATTAACAGGCAGATAACTTTCTTAATATATTTTATATATGTTTTCGCACCATAGAGAATTGCATTTGTATTAAAAATTCGATATACAAAACTTGATACCATCACGTAACTTCCCTTATTGTATGCAATAAGGTCGGTAATAATATATGGGAAGAAAAATAATATTGGTATGACCTTCTGGTTAGTATAAATAAAAATAAGCATCATACTCTAACGTAATAAAAAAAAAAATCAAAAACTGGGAGAAAATTTTACATATGAAAAAATGAAACACACAAATATATAAATGAAAAATAATACGAAGTATGTTTTCTCCTTTTTACATTTTTTTTATTTTGTCTTAAATTTTATTTTCTAATTTTAATTTCAATGCTCCTAAAAATGTTTTTTTGCTTTTGTAATAATTTCCGAGATGCAGTAAATTGTTTAAAATGTGCAATAGAAAAGTAAAAAATTCTAATGAGATCAATATATGAACCACACTGCACGGTATTTTTTCTAAATTATATTTCAAACTCTAATATATCCAGTTCTTAAAAGAGTCTTCATTCAGAGGATTAAATTTTCAAAAAAATGCTTGCACAAAGTAAAAAGACAGTATTGCTGCTTCTGATTTACTTACAAAGCCTGTTGTCAAAATTTACTTTTAAAATTTTTACTAAATCTACAAATAACTTAATAAATATTAAAGGTTTGGTTGCTGATCAGAAATCATTTTAAAATAGAATTCTAACGGAATCTAAATCTTGAAGCAATATAACTAATAAAATTTATTTAATAATTTATTAGTAATTTATATATCAGGGCGTTATGTTTTGCCTCGAGAATATTTTAATTAAATTATTATTAACTTTTATATTATTCACACAAGTCTTTCAAGATTGTTGCGCGTCTAACGTAAGTTTTATATTTTTAATTTTTATTCAAAATAAATTTTATTGCACAACATACTTAGTATGTTATCAATATTTTTATTACATTTGGCAGATGTATGTGAAAATCAGTAAGCCTTAAGTTTAATAATTTCTTATCAGTTTTTGCTATAAACTGGTCACATACACTTACTACATTTTCTGTCGTTGTGATTTTTTAATATTTAGCTACGTACTTAAATTGACATTATCAAACTAGATAATTATACGATTTGTTGTCAAAACGGAGATTCTTATTTCGAAATAAAAAAAAATTTTAACAATATTATTCTTATTAATCAATTCTACATATATAAGTAATAAAATTTATAAAACAAATTTTTTTTGAATTTTGCATCAAAATTTATAGTTTTACCGGTAACTTCTTAAATTAATGGGAATTAGTAAAAATAATTATTACTCATTTGTTCTAAATTGTAAATAAATTTTACTAAAAAATTAATAATTCTTAAAAACTTGAACTGAGAATCAATTGATGAAAAATAATGTAATTTAAATTTATTGAATTTACCGACCAACAATTTTAACAATAATGTCGATATTTGATTAATAATCTTAATTGTATTCAGTCAAAAATTGAATATTCTCAATGTATATTTTGCAACACGGATTTGATTCAAGAAAATTACCTCGAAATCAAATAACTTTTGACATTAAATTAAATAATTCACCTCTTCAATTTATATGGGTCGTTTATTTTTAAAACACAAAAATTTTGTATAAAAGCATTCCAATACTCACTAAATAAAATAACAAATCTAACATATTTTCATTTTTAATTTTCAGCTATTCCGACAACCATGACCAGAAAAAGAAAATTCTTTTACGAATGGTTTAACTTGTTGGCTTTAACATGGATTGTGATTTCTGACATTTGTCTTAACGGTAAGTAATCCTTAGTAATCAAGATTTTTTCTTAGAAGCCCATAAATACAGCAATAGTGACAAAATATTTTTTATATTACTTTTTAATCGGAGTTTATTGCTCGACCTACGCATGTAATAGAGAGCCATAATTGCAAGAAAAATGATTATTTATAATAATTGAGGATGAGAATAACAGGCAAAAAGACAGGTATACAGACAGACCGACAAAAATTACTCTAAAAATATATTATTTACGGCTCCGTACCAAGGAGAAGTGCATTTCGATCGAAAACTAGACATGTAAAATTTGGTGGAATGCTTCACCTCCCTTGTTGTATACAATGTGGTCGGTAATCATTGAAGTTGCCTTCAAGTTCTTCTTAAAATTTTAAATTAAAAATTTTTCTCCGTAATTCAGTGACTTCCAATTAGAATTATGGGAGCGATCTGAGTTTGGTAGCCTTATAAATATATAGGCATGTATGTATATGGCATCAACAAAAACTAAACGGCTTTATATATAATAAAATTGACAGACATATATAATAAAATTGACTAAAAAATTATTCAATATTTAAGTAAAATTATTGGATTTATTCAAACGGAAATGAGTTTCGATCGCTTGGATGTAGCTCTTTCAAGATGTTACAAAAATTGGAAAAAATTAATTTATTGTATTGCACCACCAAGTTTTTGCTCTCCTAAAGAAATTTTTTCTATTTTTAATTTTTAAATATGTAATTTGAAACTTTTTTAGTCTTGTGACTGTTCTTATTGTTTTCAAACACGATTAACTTTGTTTCTCGGCATGTAAACGTACGTAAACATTTGGTGTCTGTAATAGCCGCCCGCATATAAATTTTATATTCCTTGCACCTGGCTTTTAATGATTATTATACTTGAAATACTTTTATTTTTAACACTCTGTTTTTGTCTTCTTGTTTTATATTTTGGTTTATCAACACCCTTACGTGAAACAGCATTTACTTTCCAGTTTTTCTTTCTTCATTTTTCTTTTCTTTTGTTTTTCATTTTGATATTTTTCTTTGCTTTAAATTTTTCTTTAGTCCTTACCTATTGTTGTAATATTCTTGGAATACCTATAAAACAGTTGCGAAAAAAAATTATTATTCTTAAGAATGCATCTAAGATTTGATTTATTACGAAAATTTAAATTAATGATGGTAATTTTAAAGGAAGGTAAAATTTTGCACCTTTATTTAGCCTATATAATATGTGTTTGTATATATTATATATTTTTCGTAAGTACGTACACGTATAAATAAATTTACAGTTATAGTATTTTTGTTCGCTTTGTTTCTGTTCTTTTTGGAGTTTATGACATACGTATGCACATCTATACATATAACGATAGCTAACACATTCTGATTTTTATAAAACATTTAAGAAAGTTATTATATAAACCACAAAAACGAGTATGCAAATAAAAAAAATTATACAGTGAATATTCGGTAAAATTACATTTGAAAATATCAATATGAAATGGAATTTTTTGCTGTCAAAAAAAGAAAAGATCCTTGGGTGAACCTAAACTAAGAATTTAGATAACAAGGCAAGGCAGACGTCTGATAGCTGTCGCGAAGTAACATTAAATCAAAAAATTTATTTTAACATACGGAGTATGACATGCCTCTTTTAGAACTTAAAGCCACTAACCAAAAAAAATACTCGAATGTTTTATAATTTTTGAAGGAATGAGGTACTTATTTACTATTTAAAATAAAGCATGGCCGACCTCGTGTTTTAATCTAGCGAAAATCCCACAGAAGACTGAAGATATTTTCCGTTAATCTATTTTATTTTCATACATGAAATTAAAGAAAAAGATATAGAAAAAATATGAATGTCTAGTTTCTCAGTCCTAAGGAGTGCTCTGGATTTCTAGAGTATTTGGCCTTGAAACTTGTTTTTAGGATAGAGAATTTTTTTGTATCAAATTGATAGAAACTAAGTTTATCAGGAGAAATTTCTTGTTAAGGAAGTACCAATTTATTTTTAAATGAATATTTTGTTTTCCGAAAATTTTGAAAAAGAAGTGTTAGATTTATCATTTTTTGACTTCTTATACATGTCTTTACTAATAATATATATATATATGTATGTATTATATAATAATAAATGAACAACTAAAAAGCGTGAAAATGATAAGAAAATAAGATGAAGAATACCGAATAAATTCAAAAAAAAAAAAAACAAAATAAAACAAGTAAAATTAAATAAAGAAAAAATGTTTTGAATAATTTAAAAAGATTTATTTTAACTTAGCAACTTTCACCGTTATTAAACATTCATACATAGCAGTAGCGTTTGTAAAATATACATCAGAGTATAAAATTAACATATTTACAATGATATACATAGAGAACAAACAGTATGTGCAAATATACATATATGAGGGTGTATAACTTGCATATAAACTGTAATGTATAACGTCTTCATGCATGTGCGTGTGTATGTAAGTCAATATAGTATATGTATATTTGTGTGCGTTCATTTGTTTGAATAAGTCTTTGAGGTTGTAGTTTTGTTTTCACTTGTTGTTTTCTTCTTAAATTTTAAGTTAATAGGATGGCGGATTCATTTAGGCTAATTGAGATAAGTACTTAGATTGTGGAAATAAAATTATTATCAATTTAAAAATGTAAATTTTGTGGTTTCTCTTTTACAGTTCTTTTTTTTTTCTTTTTTTGTTTAATAGATGCTATTATAACTCGAATTTTTCATTTATTCTTTTTATAAATTTGTTTGTATTACTTGTGGTTTGTATTTTTTCATTTTATTTTTCTAATTGAAATTAATATTCGTATTTAAAATAATAATCTTAGTGATAATATTAAATCACAGGCGATAATGAAAAAGTGAATGATCTCTTTGAAGGTAACTTCTTCTCATTTTGCTCAAAAACACGTACAAGTAATTTTTTATACTTTTATTTTTGCGTTAGAAAAAAAATTTAATGGATTGAGTAAATTTATAACATTAGTTTAAATTTAAAACGCTGATAATCTTTTTATATTGTCGTCCTTTAGGTGTAGTAGATGCACCCACTCTATATATATATATATTTTTTTTTGAAAAATTTTTATATTTTAAATGATTTAAGGGCAGCCATTAAAATGAATTAAAATTTATCGTGGTTTTAAAATTCCTACCTAATATATGCACTTGCCTTACACATAATATACACTTAGACTCATTTATATTCTAAGATGATTTAAGAGGAACTCAGGAGAAAAAAGTAATTCTTAAATGTACATATGTATAACTTTAATAAAAATTGATAAAAAATTAAAAAAAAAAAAATTTTTTTTTTATTTTTCAATTCATGCAGTAGACATCACTTACTCTAAATTTCCCTGAAATTCTTTTAGAAAAAATTTAATAAAGAAAAATGTTAATAAAAATATTTTTGACAGAATATTTTTAATTAACAATATCTGATCTTGGGGAACGAAGTTACAAAATGCTTTGAAAAAATTTTGAGATGGTATTAAACATTTGTCAGTTAAAATATTTAAAAAAATAATAAGAGTTAGATTCATGAAATTTTCCAGTTGTGTGTCCAATTATAGGTCAGACATATATCCATGCAGTTTCTATAAAGTGGTTTATCAAGATCGAATACTGGTTATATAACAATGAGATCTAATTCTAGATATTTAAAAAACAAATTTTAAACTCATATTGCAAAGGTGCATAATTCGGTCGGTTTATACCGACTGAAACGTTTTTACTTGTTTTAACCTTCTAAGGCAATATAATAATTGCATTTTAGATATCGTCATGAATAATTTTGCATTTGAATGCATATAAAATATATAAGCAACATTTGAATGTTACACAGCTTTGATTGGTGGCTGTGAACGAACAGTACAGCTTAAAAATACTGAACATTTCAATTTGCAATGAAAATATTACACAATAATTGAGGCTTAATCAACTTTTTCAACTTTAAAAATTTATTATATTTAAATGAATTATTTTTTTTTAAATATTTCTTGCGGTTTTCAGTTTTTTCTTTGTGAATTATAATATAGGGAATCGTTAATTTACTCAATATTTTAAACTTTCAACTTATTTGCATTAAGTTCAGTTATTCAATTTTGAATAATCAGGTCTTCGCGTGATATGAATAAGGAATGGATTGAGAAATTAGCTGAAGTAGAATTTATACTGAAGAAATTCTTTAAATGTCTTAACACCAAAAAGTTGGCCTCAAATATTCTTTCAATGAAGCAAACCTGTTAACTAAGTATTGCATATGTTCCATGAGTGAAAATCTCTAAGTTTTGTTCTTTTAACAACATTTAGATGTGTGAAAAAATATATTTAAGAAATTAAAAAATATGAAAATTAAGAGATGAAATCAAATAATAATTCAATTTATATTTCATTGCTTTTTATTAAATTAATAAATAATTGTTCTCTTTTATATGATCGATATTATTGATCAGTGCAATTTATTTGAAATTGCAACATTACAGCCAATTTTATTTGATAGTTAATTAAAATTTAAATTAAAGGCTTTTGTAATAATTATAATATTCTGGGTCAACTTCTTTTTTGTGGAAGATGAAAGTATCATAATAGTACATGTTAGGTGTATACCATTCGGTTTCTTCAATTGGACGATCGAATGGATATCCTAATGGAAGGGTATCAAGGTATCTTGATCCTGATCCAACACCACATGTAATATATTCGTCGAATGTTGAGTATTGTTCATGTTCTGGAGCATGATATGGTGAGATGATGAAATAGAACTGTACTGGCATACCACTCTTCCAACCTTTAGGTAACATTAAACGTTGTGGGAAACCGCAGTGTGCTTCAGTCATATCTAATGGGAATTTATCTTTACCATCGTAAGCTCTCATAACCCATTGATACAATTCATATGATGTGGTACGGTCTTTAACGAAATAAGTGAAATCTTGTGAATGACGAACAATACTGTTCTTTCCAGGAACCAAATCATAAGTAAAGCTTTCCATAAACCAGAAGTTTTCGCGCATTTCATCCATATCAAAAGTGTGTCCCATTTCATTGTATTTTGGTCCTAAATACATGCGTACAACAGCTTTACCACTTACTTTGGAATCAACGTTCATTTTAACTGTGAATGGAAGATGATTCAAACGCCATTGGCGAGCATAAATTACGAAGTCATCATGTGTAATGTCTTCACCGGTAGTATAACCAAATTTAGCAACGCTTGAGATATCTGAATCGAATTTGTCGAAGTATGTAACAAGTTTATCGATTTCAACTGATTCAATTTTAACACCTTCATAGTAAAGTTCTTCACGTGTATAATATGGAAGATGATCTTTGAATTGCCAATAGTAATTGATTAAACGTTTGTACAACATATAGAAGAGAGGATCACGCATAGATGTTTCGAATTGTTCTAATACGCTTGGTACATATTTAACATTATGTTTACCCTCCCATGTGCTACCAAGAATCAATCTAGCGAAAACTGTCAAATAACGATGGAATTCCCAATGTTCAAAATCTGGATTTCCTTGCATAATATTTCCAAGATATTCAATGGATTCTGGTTTGCTAAGATCAATCTTTTCTCCACTTGGAAGGTAGATGTAACCGTAATCGATGGCATCACGAATACGGCGTTCGATGTCTTGAACTTTCATGATATCATAATAATTGTATGGCATGTAGAAGTTGAAGTTATCTTCACGAGTTGGGAAGAAAAGTCCATTATAATAACGTAAATTAGAATAATATCCAGTTTTAACAGGTAAATACCATGAGAATTCTGGGATACGTCCTAAGTGATTTGAAATACGTTCCATATAATAACGGGCTAATATTTGTTGATGTTCGAACAAGTATAATTCACCACGACGATCTTTGTTTAAACCAAATTCTTCACCTTCCATCCAGAATGGATAATCGGTATGGAAATAATAATAGTATGTATTTAAACCAATATCTTCAGTGAAATATGAAACACTTTGTTCGTCACTGTAGTACATATATCTGCCAGTATAATTCATTGGAATAATAACTTCATATTTATTTTCAACTTGTTTAAGTCCATAGAAATTATTTAATCTGTATGTGCGAGCTTTCTCAATTACTTCAGAATTGAAGAAATAGTATGGATAAATTTCATAAGGTGCAGGTAATTCCATACCATGCATATCATCACGATGCAAAACAGCAACGCTTAATGAATATACGAAAAGACCTTGATTAATATGATATTTAGCCCATACCATTGTATTGTAGAAAGTTTCCCAATCTTTTGCATAATAGAAAACATGGAATAGAGATACAGCCCAGTCACGATGTTCATCATACATGATGGAGAAAATTTCATCTTTTTCCATTAATCCATATTTGTAATATTTAACGAATTCCTTGACAGCGTCAACATTTGTGTACTTGTCATAATGATCTTCTATTTTGTAAGCCATAGCATCTTTGTAATATTGTGAATTATAATCGTATTGATCGACATAACGCAAGATTTCAAAAATTACTTTTTGTTTGACTAGAAAATCATGGTCGGCAATTTTAACTTTATCGCCTGGTGTAACGTAAGCCGTAGCACAAAGTGCCAATCCAAGAAGTACTGCAACTGTGATCGCTCTCATGTTGACTGATACCAAATTGGATTTTTGCATTTGCTTTTATACCTGTGTTCTTTAATATCAACGTTTTAATTTCAATAATTTTTATCATTTTTTTTTTCATTTCTTTTGTTCTATTTTTTCTAATTATTTTTCTTCAAAATTTTTCTCAAATTTCTGATAATTTTTATATAAAGGTGACCTACCGCTTTTTTTAATAAAATATATTATTATTTTCAAAATTATTTGATTATTATGTTGCTTTCAAATTTTGTTATACACAAGTCCGTATAATTCTATATGGACATGGGTTCTGTTATAGAAATGTTTTTGAACTTTACGAACTTTTCTTTTGAGAACAATTTGATAAGAGAAATTTCTTGTACATCAACATTTAATTTGCATTTTAACTTTTTTAATACATTTTTGAGCAGAGTAGCATAATATCATGTAATAAAACGAAATTTTATTTTGCTTGTTTAGCTAGCGCAAGAATTCCTTTTAATTTTCATCTTATATTTTAAAATTTTCTTGCTTCTTTCCTCATCTTTTTTTTAGATGTTCCGAGAGGTTTACTTAAACTTTCAAAAAACTTAAGACTAAAAGTAAATGACCTAGTTTTAACATTATTTTAAGTGTTGAAAAGAATATTTTTATTCTTTCAACGATTATTTTGAAGACCTCACCACAAAATATATACTCTCTTTCTTTTAGTGTACACTTGGTGGAAAATAATATATTTTTCATTACAATAGTATAGTAATGATGTAAAAAGTTTTCATAAAAATTATAAAATTACAACAATAAAACATAAAAAGAAAATTAAAAATTGTTGTAAAAAAGTTAACCATCGCCGCTAGTGGCTCATGTTCATAACAAAACTTTGAAACGAAAAAATAGATTTAAAGTTTCATATACATAAGTCCATTTTATAGAGAATATTATAGCAGAAGAAGAACAACAAAAAAAAAAGCAAAATGTGATAAACTTCTTCGAAGTTGCTCCTAAGAAAACAAGTTAAATAGTGTGTAACATAACAAAGCAATTATTGCACTATAATAGTTCCTTTAAGAATTTTTAAACTATAGATATAAGATCATGTGATATAATGTAAAGACGCATAAATCCTATTTTTTAATATAAATGTTTTAGTATTTTTAGTTATTCAAGACGAAATTAATGCAAATAAATAATTTTTTATGAAAATTCTTTCTTTTTGCTTGTACCTATGTACGATTTTACTTTTCGGGGTTATTACACCATTCGTATTTTAATAAAAACAACTTAACTTTAAGTTGGTTATTAAGTTCTAAAAAGAAACGCAAAAAAACAGCTCTATACTGTACAAACGAAAAATAAATGTCTACACTAATAAGATTTGTATTAAATATAATACAATATATAGTACGTTTGCAATTTCTAAATATTTGACAAATTATTAATAAGACTAAAAATTACAAAGTCTTGAGGAATACAAATGTTTGTAAAATTGTGATTAGTTTTGGAATTCCATCGCAGTTATTTGGTTTTGCAAATTGTCCATCCACTTTATATCTGACTTAAACTAAATCAATATTAATTTGTAGCTACCATCAGTTGTTTAATAAATATATTTTTATACTATATAAAAAAAACGCCTCAACTTCATTATTTTGCATTATATTACTTGAAGACAAGAAATGTGCAATAATGCGCAACGGAAAATTGGAATTTAATTGAAAAACCAAAAATTAATTTTTTTGCATGTCTGACATAGTTCCTTATAATATAACACTAGGTATTTTATATAAAATGTGCTCTCGTATTAATTTATAATAATTTATTCTAATGGTAAGCCTGATTAAAACTATGACACAACTAATGACGTAATCGAATTTTAAAGAAAAGTAATTATTACCTAATTTCGATTACTAACATTTATTTTTATTGGCGTTATTTATTCAGTACGACCCTGGTATTTTATTTTTACTATAAAACTATTAAATACTTATTACCAAAAAATCACCTTCGAAGAGATTATTCACTTTTTTAATATCATTTGTGAATTTTCAATGCTATCGTTATCACCATCCATGTGACTATTAAAAGTGGCTAGTAAACATAATGGCGCTCTGTGTTCATATTTCTCCCAATATTTTTTTATTTAATCTAGAATATCTTATTTCAATTATTTTGAATAAAAAAAAAATATTTCAGAAAATTAATTTGTGATAGAATTTTAAAAAAATATATAGGGTTTTATTTTTCATTCAATAAACATTCAATAAATTATTTTATTTAATTATTTTTTAAATAAATGTTATTTACTAATGCTTAAATTATTTTTCCTTCCATTACTTTTCCACACAGCATTATGTCTGAAAGACTTAAAAATATTTGTACCAGAAGCAGTGATTATGGGAAATGCTGCAACATTATCATGTCAATATGATTTAGAACAGGTAAAAGGCTCCAAATATTTTAATTATGAAGAAATTATTAAATTTAAATTTTTTTTACTTATAGGCTGCTTTATATTCTGTACGCTGGTATTTCGAATCAGAAGAATTTTATCGTTATGTACCAAAGGAAACACCGCCAACACTTGTTTTCCCAGTTTCAGGAATTAATGTTGATGTAAGTAAATTTTGGATTTCTATTTTATTCCTATATTTTTCCTAATAATTGCTGGCTTTCTAAGTAAAATTTAATTTAAAACTCTAACTTCAAAACAGATATAAAACGCAAGTAGTAAAAAATATTTAAAAAAAATATTTTTCTAAATAAAACCATTTTCCAATTATGATATGAATACGGCCAATAAGTTATCAAAATTTTTCTAAATATTCTTAATTGAAATCATAGTTTCTTAAAATATCAAAATGATATCTTAATTTAACAAAACAAATCCTTTTAAATTTATTTAAAAAACTTTAACTTTTAAATATAATTTAAGAGAAGTTGAGTAACTCGTTACCTCTGCTATTCTACATTTTATACTTCTCTATTTAATATAAAATATTTTCTAAAACTTTTATTAGAAATTATTAAGACATAATTGAAACACTCCTTAATTCTTGGGATGTTGTTTATGCTACAATATTTACCCACCTAATTATAAAAATCAAAACAATGAAATACCATAAATTCACTGTTGATGGTGTTCCAAACTCTACAGGGAAGTTATATAAACCTTTTCATTCTCTAATTTTTATTTATGTATATATTATAGAAGCCATTTTTTTCATAATTTTTTATTTTACCCTAAACATAATTTAGCGCGAAGTCAATTAGGGAAATTTAATTCTAATTGAATTACCTTTAAAACACAGAGAAAAAAATAAAATAAAATAAAAGAAACCACACAATAATGTAAAACTCACACAAACACACAAAATATAAGCAATTCAAACAAGCTCAAATTATCTATATAATTATGTAGATACGCATAGATATGCCATATTACATAATTAGAATATAATTTTGTGTAGGCATGTTTTTATGTTAATCAAGAACTTTTTTAAATACTCTTTTTTATTATTGAACTAATTTTATGGTGAATTTCGAATTTTATTTATAAATGATCTCTATACAATTTTATTTAATACCATAACCTGTTAGGAAAAATCAACTACAATATTTATAAAAAAATTTTGTCCACAAAATTCTATTTCTATATTTAAAAAAAAAAATCTGATGTGTTCAGCACATGACCGACCCCAATGTGTATTGTTTAGTTTAATGAAGATTATGATATTATCTTTAAAACACTTGTTTCCAATTTTAAGGAAGTTAGTACGTTTTTAGTTAACAATAAAATATAAATTTGACTCTTACTAGAGTTTATCTTTGTGCCATTTGAATTCCCTCAAAAGTTCAATAGTTAGTTTCCGCAACAACCAAAACTCAGATATTAAATTTCAAGCAATTCAACTAATTTTAGTTCCTTAAATATTTTAAAAAATGAAAGTCGACCCCTAGTTCCAAAAGTTTTATGTGTCCATGTTTTTATCATTCCGAATTTATGATTAAATTTTTATGTAAATTGACTGTTTATTTCTCTTTATATGTGCAAAAATGTAAGATCGAAAAGATTCATCATCCCTCAAAAATATACGAAAACCAAAATAAACACACATATAAAATTTTATCAAAATCGGTTCAACCATACTTGAGATACACGCGTGCACTGCACACAGGCCGAAAGATGTGCTTAAAGTATTTTATTTACACCTTCCTACAGCGAAGAAGTGCTTTCCTACCGAAAACTCAACATCCGAAATTTGTCTCCTTGCCATCACATAGCTTCCCTTATTCTATGCAATGCCGGTCGGTAAAATGTGTAAGCTATGCTAGAATTCATATATATATATAATATATTGTATAATAGGTAGGTACTGTAAATTGGCATAGAAAAAGGAAAAAATATAATTGCGTGCGGTATCGTGCTGAACATGCTAAATTTTTTTCTTTGTTATTTTTCTGCTTTTGTAAGTGATGAAAAACAAATTAACAGAGCAAAAAAAAAATCGAGAAATTGTGTAAATCGTGTAAAAATGATTTAAGCGATTCTTTTATTTACTTAAATGTTAGCTAATAAATTACTTTTTTTTTTTCTTGTTTTTTTGAGTCCTCAATTTTATAAGTCAGTAGTTGCATGAATGATATTTTAAATTATCCTGTAAACTAAAATGTTAACATTGGGGGTGGGGGGGCATTGTATTAATTAACGTTTTAGAAATTAGTTGTAATTGCCATTTAAATTGTTTTCTTTTTCTTTATTCTAGATTTCATTAAAATAAAAAAAAAAACGGAATAATTGCTTCGATGTGCAATTAGAGCCGAAAAAAAAATTAAAAAAATAATTTAATGTTTTCAAAATAATAAAATTTTTGATGCAAAATAAACTTAAGCTGATTTTCAATTTAATTGAAGGTGAAAAATTTTCTTTTGTTTTCCAAAGTAATTATTTTCATGGTTACTTACGAGGTTATAGAAATTCATACATGCTCCTTTCTAATGCCTAAAATATTTTTATAAAATCTTAGAAACAAATTTTAAACAAAAAAATGAAAAAGATTTTTTTTTTTGAAAAATTTGTCCAAAATTTTTAAGGTCATTTATGTTACAATTAATTTTAGTAAAGTCAAAGCTAACGAAATTATTAACAATATTTTCTAAAATATTTAACTATGCGGAAATTCAATAGAATATTTTTTACGGTCAAAAATCACAAGTCTTCAAATAAAATTTTTGTTCTATATATGAAATTTTGTAATTAGTATAAATTACTTTTCAATTTGATTCTTTTGTATTCAAAATATCAAAGTTAACTTTAAAATAATACTGTAGTTAAAAAAAGGTTTCTGAATATAAAGTCAATTAAGAATATTGAACAAAGGAAGAGGCAAAATAACCAAATTAACAAGCGAACATTTTTTCCTCATTGCATAGAGAATAATTATTCACCACGAAAGATTCAGGATTTAAAATATTTCCTTAAATGTAAAAATATGTTACATGTTTTTCGGAATACAATACACTCTATTAGAATATTTTTGAAACTCTATTTGAATTTTGCGTACTATGTTTTCCCACATTAAATTATTATTATTATCTTTTTGTTTAATTTCCAAAATAAAATTCTCTTTAACCTCTTAAAAGAAGTCATAAAAGAAAGTAAAGTTTTGGGAAATTTTCAAAATATTATAAATACAATTACTTAGTTTTCAAAATATTATAAATACCTGACTTAGTTCTTTGACATTAAAAAAAAGTTAAATAACGCACTATTAATCTTCATTCTGAAAACCTTAAAATTGTTATGAAATGAACTCAACCACACACTCTAATATTATTTATGATGAAATTAACATTTAATATCTTTGCAACCTACCAACACATTTTATGCTTTTAAAAATTTATTTTCTAAGTAGAAAATTTATTAGATCTTTAGATTAAATCTCTAAACATTTTTCAGTCTCAAATTTTTTATACTTTTTTCTTACATAATATCTAAGGCTGTAAAGAATAATTTCTTATATTTTATCGGTTGCTGAAACGTCTGCAATAATTATTTTTACCTTATATTTTTACCTAACAATAGTAACACACAAACTCATATAATTTCCATTTAAAAAGGGGTGTCCAAAAAGCAAAAATAAAACAAAAAAAACAGAAAATATTATTGCCTTTTCAACGCCAGCATTAGTTTTATTTAAATACAAAAAGAATAAAAACAGAAAAGAAAAAAAAGTAAAACAGAAAAAAGGATACTCTAATTAAAAGACTTTAAGGAAAATGCGTACAATATAAAAGAAAAAATTAATTTTAAAACAGAGTGACAAAAAAATGGACCCTAAAAAGGGAGAAAAAAAACGTAACTTAGAAAACAGTTAAAAAAGTGGACGATTGTATAAAGAAAGGACACACCAGTTTATTTTTTAATAAATACTGGGAACGGATTCAATGAAGTGTTTTTCAGTTCCTTTCCACACTCATTCATTTCTTACCCAATTCTTTTGGTTTTTATCAGTTTTTTCTAAATAAAGTTACAATCAGTTGAAAGAAAAACAATTCAACAGTCGTTTTTGTTTTTCTACCTTAATTTTTTACTTCTTTCCTTTTAAAAAATCTTTTGTGCTTTTTAAATTTAAAATATAAGGGTATAAGAAATTCACTATTCGTTTTTAATAGTCGTTAATTCAGTGTTATGTTTGTAATTTAACACAAGTTTTTATTTTGGGTTAATTAAAAATGAATCCTGGTTGAATATCGTGCTTTTTATTAGCCTCGCACCAGCTACATAGGAATCATGAAGGGTTTCTCCTATAAATTTTTTAAGCATTTTTTCAAATATTGCAAGCGCAGTGACTTGCTTCTTCTACCGCGACCATTTTGGAACTTTAAAAAAAACAAAATGGCCGTTAAAATTCAACGTTAGCTAAATAAAATCCGCTTTTTAATATTTTTGAGGTGGTTTTTCTTCTAGAACAAAGATTGAAAAAGTCTGAAATTTCGGTAGAAGAAAATTTTTTTCCATCTCCACCCGCTCTCAAGTTATCAACTCACGAAATTTGTAAAATCATTTCAAAGGCTGTACAAATCTTTCATCCCAAAAGTATGCAATTTTTGAAATTTCAGTATATGAATGATAGTTATTTTAATAGTGTAGTAGGTATACAGATTGTTTTTAAAACCAGTATTTTCACTTGTTGAAAGGAAAAGTGCTATATTACAAACCATAGGTTTGACCCAACTTTATACATTTTTCCTTTTTATGTCATAAATTATATTTTTCATATAATTCATCTGCATAAAATTTTGAAAATTTTTAAAATTTCACAAAGCACAAATTTTCCAACGTATTTTCTTTTGGTAATTAAATTAAGTTTATTATACCAGAATGCCTAAAATATCATATTAATCTAATATTATTTGAAATGAATTATATCAGAGCAAAAATCTTCGACAAATGATGGTAGAAAATAGGTCAACTCAACCCTGTTACGTAGAATCATTGCTAAACTCAAATGTTATTGTTCTCAATTTTACATCAAAACTAAAAAAAAAAATCTTATAATTGACTGGATCAATTACCAATAATTTTGTTACGCTTTAAACATTATTGTTATTAT